CAGACCATCCAGAACCACCTGGGGGAGGAGCTGCTGCAGGACTTGATCAACTTCTGCCTCAGCTACATGGCCCTGCTCAGACTGCCCAAGAAGCGGTGAGCCCCCTCCAAGCCTGACCCGCCCCTCCTCGGAGTCCTGGGGCCTGAGGGAGGAGAGGGCTGGGTCCCTGACTTATTGGTGAGCGGATTCCTGTCCCCTTGAAGTCCAGGGAGGCTGTGGTCCAAGATGGGACTGGATTTGAATTCAGGGCCATTCTCGTTTTCTCTGGCTCCCTACTCCTCTGCCCACCCCTGCCACCACCAGTGGAACCTTCATTGAGTTTCGGAATGGCATGCTGAATGTTTCCCCCATTGGCCGGAGCTGCACCCTGGAGGAGCGGATCGAGTTCTCCGAGCTAGACAAGGTGCCACCACCTGTGCAACCTTAGGCCTGTAGGACCTCAGTCACTCAACCTCTCTGAGCCTTTAATTTCCCATCAGAGAAATGGATTGGTGTGGTGGGTGGACCTCCTTCAAACACCCTCTCATACACCACATCATTTACTTTTGTGATCTTGTTTATTGTCCATCTCCGGCCCACTCCCCACCCACCCACCCAAATCGTAAGCCCCATAAGGGCAGGGACTGGTGATTTGTTCCCTGCTGGGGCCCCTATGGAACCCTGGTGGCACAGTGGTTAAGAGATCAACTGCTAACCAAAAGGTCAGCAGTTCGAATCCACCAGCTGCTCCCTGGAAACCCTACGGGGCAGTTCTACTCTATCCTGTAAGGTCACTATGAGTTGGAAGCGACTCGATGGCAATGGGTTTGGTTTGGTTTTTTTGGACCCCCCTGTGCCCAGCACAGTGCCTGGCACATAGTAAGTGCTCTGCACTCAAGAAATACTTTTTTTAATAAATGAAAAGGTGGTATGATCTTCATTTTATGAATGAGGAAACCAAGGCTCAGAGAGGGAAAGTGACCTGCCCTGGGTCACGCCGCTCTGATGCTTCCCTGAAGCTGGGTAGGTCTTGCAGCTATGCCTCCCAGTTCACTGGTCCCTACCCCCACCCCACCCTGTGCTCTCAGGAGACCTTCCCCACTGGGGTAGATGAGCTTGGCATTGGCAGAAAGCCCCCTCCCCACTCACATTGAGAGGTGGTCCTTCTCAGGCAGCCAGGTTTCCAATCCCAGCTCCATCTTCTGTTTGCTGAGTGACCTGGGACAAGTGGCTTCACCACTGTGTGTCTCCGTTTTCTCATCTGTGAAATGGGATAATGTAGTTCCCATCTCCTAGGGCTGTTGTGAGGACTGGGTGAGGCCGAGCATCTAAGAAGCCCACACAGGGCAGGCCTGGCACACACTACAGCTTCCCACAGTCCCCAGCGCCCTCACTTGTCTTCTTGGCCCTTGTTTGCCCACTTCTGTTATGGAGGGGGAGTGAACATTCCAGATATCCTCCTGCGTGCCCTACACCAGCCCAGATAACTTATCAATGCTTGACTCTCCTTCAGAATTTGAGGGAGGGATGAGTAGCCCCTTCCCTAGATCAGGACACTGAGGCCAGAGGGTAAGTGACCAGCTTGAGGTCACAGTGCTGGACCTACCAAGGCCAGACGTGGCACTCGGGGCTGTCCAGTGACCAGAGAGGTGTAGCCACCTTGGGCCACATGGAAATATTTATTCAGAGCTTGGGGGCACCCTCAGCTCTAACTTTGGGCCCAGAGAGCAGCCTCTGTAGGGGCTCTGGCTTCCCTGGGGGCCCACACTTCTGCTGGGAAGGCAAGGCCAAGGCAGGTGGGGGGCTCACCTCCCTCACCTCAGCTCCTCCCTGAGACGGAAGCAGGCAGGGTCGTTGCCTCTGTCTTTTAGCCCAGGGAACAGCCTCAGAGAGATCAGGTAGCTTTCACGGCCACCCAGCCGGGAGCACAGCAGCCGGGCCTGGCAGTAGGCAGCCTGGCTTGATATCTCAGTCTGGACCGCTTCTCCAGGTACACACCACTAGCTACCACCTGCCTCTGTCTGCTCCAGTCCTACCCAGCTCTGACCAAAATGCAGGACTAGTCACTCCATTCCCTGGTGCTGAAACCCTCAGGCTCCTGGTCCCCAGAATGCATCCAAGCCCCCCAGCCTGGCCCCAGGCTCCCTGTGAGCCAAACGTCCTGTGGAGCTCTCTGCTGGTTTGGCCATACGGGGTCTCCCCACTCCAGGCCTCTGCTGACCGTTTCTGCACCGAGTGAGCCACTTGCCCTGTGGTCCTGCCCCCCATCAGCACACCAGCCAAGACATCTGGGCAGAGCTGC